CACCACTGTGCCGGTATCCAATGGATGTCCAACTTCAACCAATCCACAAAATCACTAATATCTCCACAATATCCCTCCTTTCTGATAATATGAGTAGGACCTGTTTCATGGATATTTTTGAAATCAATCAATCAATCAATCAATCTAGCTATCTATCTATCTATCATACCACTATTGAACATCAGTCTTAAAAATTAGTGTAAATTGAAAAATGTAATCACTTGTTCAAGGAAGAATTTGAAATTCTTGATTGTGTCAAGTATTGTAACAGATAATGAAAGAAATTAATTCTATATCATTAGATGAATAATATTTGCAAATCATATGAATCCCAGGATACTTTGTCAACTCTACACTACACTACTAGCTAGTTCATTGTTGGATGAATTACCAATAAGCTGACTTTGTTATAAACAAAGGACATTGTGATAAAACTCAATCACTCAACCACTCAATCACTCAATCAATCAATCAATCAAATTTTTAACACAGTCATTTCAACCATCTGTTGACAGAAATCTCTCTTATCAGTTATCAACTGTTTGAGCACTGCATTGAAATACTCCTATACACTTCTTCGAATAAATATGTTAGGTGAACAGTACAGTACAGTACAGTACAGTACAGTACAGTACAGTACAGTACAGTACAGTACGCCTGTTACTCTTCGTGGAGGAGCATAGGCTGCTCACCAGCATTCTCCATCCAAACCTGTCCTGGACAATCCTTTCTAACTTCTGTCAGTTGTTATTCATCCTTTTCATATCTGCTTCTAATTCCCAACGTAACGTGTTCTTTGGCCTTCCTCTTTTCCGCTTCCCCTCGGGATTCCAAGTTAGGGCTTGCCTCGTGATGCAGTTTGATGACTTGCGTGATTTATGTCCTATCCATTTCCATCGTCTTTTCCTAATTTCTTCTTCAGCTGGAAGCTGGTTTGTTCTCACCCAGAGAAGGCCGTTGCTGATGGTATCGATGATGCTTCCCAGGTATGTAAGATAGAAGTCAGTAATATTTAATTTCATGCAATTAGTTCCCTTTATGAATTTAAATATTTAATTTGTCGAAGAAAAACAAATAAGGGTCATTTACATTTTACTGATGTGATACGGTATGATTAAATAGAGACAGTTTATTCATTTGAAATTTTCTGAGACTTAATTAATGTTTTCGTTGGTTGAATATGCTTATATACAACGGTCATAATGAAATGATATTTAGTTCGACATACCCAACAATAGAAAATGGTATACTGAAAAGTAAATAAATGAATAAAGGTGTAATTATTGAAACAAGAAATTTACAGAAGTATTTTAACTGTATGTTGTAATGAACAAGAACACGATTGGGAACAATCGAATATATTTGAGCACAAAATTACGGAACGTCTTACTTAAATCTGACAATCATACCGTAAATGGTTAATTTGCAAAAAATATCAATCAGTTGTCTCAAACTTGACTGCTCCTTTTGCAAATATCAGTCCATCATCTCAGATTTGATTGTTCGTGTATTTTAATACCAATCACTTTCCGTTCTTATTCTTTCTTTCTCTCTTGATCTTCTACTGAAATACAGTCTATTCTTGAATATCGTTCAATAATGAGATTTTATTTTCTCTCATGTAAAATGAAATGATTGTTTAAATATAAAGTGATTCATTCAGAACAATAGACTTACTGCATCCATGACGGTGCACTTCTAACAAAGTGACATGAGATAGGAATTTTCTGCATTAGTGCTTCAATTTTAACTACAATATGTAGGCGTTTAGGAATTATAATCGCAAGGTAAATAAATATGGTAGAGGAGGTTTCCATTTGAATTAACGTATGTTCGTTCACTGTAATTATACACTATGATATGTATTTCATTGTATATAAATAAGAATTCAAAATAAAAATATGACCGAACCAAACAAATTTCACATTATTTTATTCATTAGATATTTCGATTTATTAAAAGTATTAAGAACTTCGACACCGTTTGCGAAGTTAACCTCTTGCCTGATAGTAGTTTTCTTTCACCAGTATATTCCTATCAGAAACTAAATATTACATTGACGACACTTTGAACAACTTTAACAACGTTGATGGAAAGATTCTTTTATGTCGAGAATAGAAAGTTAATGTGAAACGATTACATAGAGAAAATAGACCGTTGATATATGTGCACGCAGAACATTTAAATGTATTTTGTCATATTTAGACAGTTTTATCTAAGACCTGACATTGGAGAATGAAACTGTAATAAACTCCACATTAGACAATGTGAATGCTATCTCCACCTGCTCAAACACGAATATAAACTGTCGATGAAGCGACATGATATGCTACCACTGAAATCAATGTATACGGACAACTATGGACATAAGTTGAACTGAGAGAACGTTGAAATTCTAGACCATAGGAACTACACGAATCACGAGGAATATCTTGACGCATAGCGTTTAGATCAGTGGGTTAGGGAAGTGAGTAGTCATATCGATTTAGAACTGATTTAGTTTAATTTGTTCAAAAAAGGCCAATAGAACAAAATAGTCACTTGAGCACAAAGACAGTTCAAGACATCATAAGCTACGACAATACCCACCAGAATAAACTGATTCGAGACTCATGGAATAAATAAAATGCTCATTTCTACGTGAAACAAACGCTCATGCTGTGCAGAATGATGATGAGTCCTCCGTGACTGAACCATCTAGTTCAGAGCACTGAACAGCATCAAACAAAGCCGAGACTTTTCAGTGATCTATTAAATCTTCAATCAACCAAAAGATTTAGCATATATAAGTATTATTCATTCGTTTTATAATACAGCCATATTCTCAATCAAAACTATACTACATCTAATACTGTTTTGATTATAATATTTTGAACTGTAAGTGAAATGTGAAACAACAGTCTGGCCATAACTAGTAACATTATGTAAAATAATAACATCAAGATTATATTATTTGTTTGATGTAATTAGTCAGTATGTTCCAATAGTTGAAATAGTTATACTGGCGTGCATTGCTGACGAGTCCTATACTGGGACGAAACGGCCGTCCACTACTTCCATTCTGAAAATGTTTTCTTTTTCATTATTCGTTTAGCTCTTTTGAATAATATTTTGTTTAAATGGTTCCCAATATTCATTAACTTTTTCATCATTCAGTGATTATTTGATAGATATTAAACTCTGAATGAACTTACAAAAATACTTTTCTTAAAACTCTGTAAATTTTCAAAGTTTCGAGATTATTTCTTGTAAGTATATTTCAACAATAATCTCTCAATATTTTTAATAATACAAGCCAAACGATACCAAGTGAATTTAAATTGACCCCATTGCACAAGCAAGTGGCTATCGAGACTCAGTAGCTGAGTGGATAACGCGATGGCGTTTGATGCGAATGGTACTGAGTTCGAATGAACATCAGCTCTGAGATACAGATACATCCAGCTGACGAGTCCTGAATAGGAAGAAGCGCGTGTGAAACTGGATTCCACTGCTAGCCACCATCCATCATTACTTACAAACATTACATCAATAATGTTTGTCAAGATCCCATAGATTTCCTTCAACACTATTTAAATGAATAATATTAGATTCTGTTAGAATATTCAGTTTTACACTATTTCTACTTCATATTCATTTACAAATTAGTGTTTTCATGAATCTTGGTATGATTTCTGAATAGAGAGTCTCGTTTGTAATCACAATTGATTGATCACTGGGTGGTGATCAATTTCATGTGTGTCAAGTCGTTATTTAGTGCAGACTGAATACTATCGACCATGATGCAATGTGGTCCTCAGTCTAGGTGTTTTAACACTGCGCGCACTATAAATTGTGATTAGATGGTGGTTTGAGGTAGTCGACAGGAAACCCTTGATCCGGGTCTCGTGCTACTCGGCACTCGTCAGCAAGGTGTACCTGTGACACGGGATCGAATTCGTCAGGGAGCACCAGTTCACTCGAGATTACAGGTTGTACGATACTAACAAATGAGTATTTAAAAAGATGATTTTCGATCTGTTACTTTAGATTTGTGACTGGTCATTGATGAAGCTAATTCCTTCTATTTATTTTATCAAATGACTGTAAATAAATACACAACTCGACTACATGATTTAACTTGCTCTAAGGAACTATCATCCTCTAAAGAAATTCATTCGACAAGGTTAATATTATAAGTTATTCTCATATGAAAATTTATTTTGTATGTGTAATATCACTTAAAGGTTGTCAAAGATAGTTTAGCCGTAGATTTCCGCTTTTTAAATCCTAGATAGAGCCTAGATTAGAATTATTCGAGCTTCTCGATCTAATCACTTATACAATATATATATATATATATTTTTTGACGCCGCATGCTATGTATAGTAGAGATTTCAAGCCAAGAAAACAAAAATGTTGATCGTATCCACAATATCGTAGTAAATATTTAGTAGACTGATGTTGGAGTTCTTCTTCTATCTCTCTTCCAGTTAATCAGTTCAGTTTGATTATCAACAAACTAACAATTGACAGAACACAGGAATTGTGGCAAAACATCTTTGCACTATGTAGGACTCATATGCTTGACTAAGTGTTGTATTGTAGTTATAGATCCAGTAATGAACACCAAATAATCAGCAAATTATGAATCATTGAATCTATTCTCAGTGATGAAAATTGTCAAACGTTCTTCATGTCACAGAGATGTTTCAACATGATGGATTTATATGCTTTATACTTAGAATAGTTGTCAGTTATATGTACATATTTCTTTGTTACATAATCTAATGTTTCTTTTTAAAAAAGTTTGCACACAAATTTCTCAGTTAATTTACGTGAATTATGTTGAACTTACGGGTGTTTCCCATGTGAACTAAAATCAAATCAAATCGACGAACATGTTACAGTGTATGTATTCATTGTAATAATGGGGTCAAATTTATGTAAACATGATGGTAATTTATTAACTTTGTATGTCATGGTGATTAGTTATTTGGTCTTAGGGTTGAGTAATAATCTTAAGAATTTTTAAATAATTGTTTACTACACAAGAAATAAAATGCTGAATTATGTTGGACAGAACCTAACTGATTTACAACAGAATCTAATTCATTTATATCAGTGAGAATTTGCTGGCAATCTTGGACGTTGAATATGTATATTAGAAATTGTGCTTCACATTCAGGATTTATTAATTGTCCTAATTTACAGTGGATAGCTTAGTTACAATTTATTTACATTTATTTATTTGAACACATAAATATTGGTATAGGTGGTGGGCACCAAACACAAATGCACCACATAAGTCACTTGATTTTTGTTTGGGCTATGATACTACCTGGGTGCTCAGGCCGAAAGAGTTGGTTTTTATATGGGGCCACACTCCGAGCCTTCGACCTAAATGTTTGACCCACAAGGGAGTGGAGCAACGTCAGGAGATGCAGTTCCATGATAGCCGGTGACGAACAATAGCTTCATTCGCCATTTGTTCCCTCAGGTTCTTGGAGCCCATGTACACCATTGGTTTAGGATAAGGGTTTTCCAACTCCCCTAGATGGATCCTCCATATCCACCAATCAACTCGGATAGAGTGCCGGATATTCGCTTTTTGTCTTCTCAAATTCGTAAACAACGTGCTCGTTGCGAGAACGCAGTGAGTAGGACATCCCTGACAGTGGTAGTATATGTGCGGCCATATGTTTAATAAGCTAGTGTGTAATACACATGTAACTATAACAAATGTCCAATTGACTAAATCTGTTAAATTTTCTCATCATTATAACTATGAAAACGGTATATAAAACAAAAATTTGTTTACATATGCTTACACAGGTTTTGGTGTTCTAATGAGATTGAATGATTAATAAACATAAAGAAATTTTGATTAAATTAAGATTTACAATTTTTCAGTTACAATACATTATTGTTTCATGCCAATATTCTGTCAATAAATTGATTCAGTCTGATGGTAAAAATGTTGAACACACTGTATAATTTCCAGTATGTTCATAACTACTACAAGGTATGTGAAGAAACGTGTGACAGTTCTAGCTGGCAACTTTCTCCTAGACTAACTGACCATCTAGTAGTGAATAATTGAGTATTATCTTTCCTACAAAAATAAAAGGATTCAATGGAAACTCAAAGACAGGAACATTTATTTTAACAGTACTGATACACGTTGGTAATGGGCAACTAGCCATAATTCTATATGAAGAGATTTCTATCGTCCACCTCTAATCAAATAGTACCGAATTGTGATTTGTGTTGATTTTTTGATATGTAATAAACGATGAGTTACAAATAATTCTTTGCTTTTCCTTTTCAGTGTCATATCATCATAGACAAGTGTTCATTCGGTTGTTTGCACAACAGCTTTAGTTATAACATAAACAGTAACAAATTCAAGTGATTCATTATTTTATCATAATAATAATGATAGTAATCATAAATCTTTTATGTTTGATTTGGACAATTTTAGTGTGTAAAGTAAATACTACTTTCTATTGTGTTAGTCAATCAAAATCTTGAAGTTAACAAAAACACAGATGCATAACATCTTTTATATCTGATCTGATGAAACTGGGTTGAAACTCAAACTGTGCAACTGAAGGAATATATTTCATGAAGTAAATAAACAAAGCTGGTATTTAAACTCACAAGTTGAATATTCGATAAACAAAACATGAAACCTGAAGTTTGTGCTGATGATATCTTTTAGAAGAACGATGAAAGCTTCACGAACAAACCATCCAGCTCTTAGAATAAAACTCCACCAAAATGAAATAAGGTATTTCTTGATGTTGTTTTTACTGTGACGCACAAGTCGAATATATTTATTTTGTCCATCGTATCTGTGTCCAGCTATTGATTATAGAACATTCGAAAAGCATTTTCTTCTCTAAATTACCACACAGTTTTATAACCAACACTTTTTTCTTTCAAATAAATCTAAATTCATTATTTTCATCAAGTACCATTTAATGCTAACCTCTTAGTTTTCTCTCATTCAGTCTTTGTCTGACATTTTATGTTTCTCAACTTTTGAACAGTATATTTGATAAAGAACCGATGGAATGTGAATAACCGTAGAATGCAGGATGAGCGTTTCGTCTCAGTCGGGACTCATTAGGTGAATACACTTATATCTAATACTTGATGTTCACCCCAACACTCAAGCTCAACACAGTTTTCTTCAAACGCCATTACATTATCCACTTAGCTACTAAGTCCAGATTAACATTTGAGCGTGTCCTGAATTCCACTGCTAGTCACATTCCATCTATTCTATAGCAATTTATGTCACCATGACTATATCGTGATAATTCACAAACGATCCTCAAATATCAATCAAGATTGATCAAATTTCAGTCGAACTTATCCACAATGGGATAAAACAATCCATTTCAATTGGAATTCAGATATCTGAATTTTAACTAAAATGGTCGATAATATCGAAATAGATATTTGAACTGATAATACTTGAATTAAGTTATTATTATTATTATTATTATTAGTATTATTGGGTTTTAATCCCGCGATCGGGATCGTGGATGCGCAATGCAGAGGAGTCCCACAATAGGATGAAACGGCCGTCCAGTGCTTCCAGGTTTCCAAAAGTGGTCTCACATCAATCGGTTCATGATCTCAATCAAAATCTTAATAATCTCCACAACCCCTATATCAGTAAAAAATTATTCAGATCAGTAGACATGAATCAAACAGGAATCATTAAATTAGTAAGTAATAATCAACTAGATTATACTTGAATTAGTTTAAAAGAGTGAAGAGCAAATCTTATGCATAGAGGTTAGTTAATGATGCTTTATTGAAACAAAGATGATGATTTTGATGAAAAGAGAAGAATGATACACAGAAGATTTGTTGGATGAAATGTTAGAATTGTTGGATGAGAACATGTATCTATGCATGATGTAGAATGATATGTATATGTTGTATTGTAAGCGATGGGAATTGAATGGATTGAGTATATCATATGAACATTGACTACTTACTCTTCTTCGTCCCCTAGAATTCAATATAAATTACATTTTTCAATATTTTAATTATATGGGATTTTCTTTCTGCAAACGGACTTACAATAAGCTAAGCGTTACTATTTTGATTCAACGAGAAAATTGTAAGTGATCAACATTCTTGATTTTATTTCTAGTTGTTAGTCATGAAATAAGAACTGCATTGAAACTTTGTATGGAGATTGTAAAGGGTGTTCTGTCACGTTCCTAGAAATCTGGAACACTAGGAATTTCAAGCCTGCTGGACGTGTGCAAAAACCGATGTTTTGAAACATCAGTATATCGATGACTGGGTGTAGTGTATAATTGTGTTGTTCCTCGTAAATTTGGAAAAACGTGAAAAAGTGATCAATATATTCACAAAGTGAAAAAGCAGTTGGAATCGTGATTCACATGATCAAGGATGTTAGATAATCCACAAAGTGCAATGGGAGCGAAACGTTCACACACGATCGGAAGAAAACATATGTGACCAGAGTTGGTGTATGAACATTCATCGGTCATTAGGACACAAGTGATTATCATGATTGATTTGAGTGATTTATTACGTGACTTTCTAAACCTATTTTCCATAGACCACATTGCCATATAAATACACGTGCAGTTAAATCACACTTCGATTGGCGACTCCCACTAACATTGTCGAGTAGTGGAAGATAAACAGTCAGAGTGAGGAGAGTAAGTTGGCGAAATTTCTGTAACTGACGTGATGCTATTACTACTCTACTACATTCACGTTGACTAATACACATGAACTCACCAAGAGAGATATACTGACTACTCACAGGTCAACATTTCTCTCTCTTCCAGAATTGCAATGAAACTCATCGTCATACTACTACTGAGTGTGTTCGTCTTCGAACACCGACTGGTCGAAGCCTTATCAGTCTCTCCAGCGAGTGAAGGTAAGTGGGTGTGTTGTTGAGATATCTGAGGATGAGTGTCGACCGAAAAGTCTCTCAACGTGAATATATCGTTTATTACGCTTCAATTCATCAAGTATCACTGTTTGTTATGCACGTTATGTGAGGCATTGTAGTGGTTGAGTGTCTCGTTACAGACATCTGTGTATTATTGTTCGATAAAACGACGTCACAGAGACAATGTTCTGTGCAGTTGACAGACAGTTCTGAGTGACACGTGTTCCGAACATTTTCTTGAATTGTGTGTTATTGCTTACAGATGATGACCTCAAGATTTAACAGTGGAGCGTTATGTCGTTCCACCAAAAAACAAACAAACAAACAGGTCAACATCTGCACACAGTCAGTTGTGTTTGTTTATGCTCCCACATATTTCATTCATCAATAATTCCCTAACACGAAGTCTTGTTTTGTTATAGGACCGACCGTCATTGTTACTGAGCCACTGCAACAGGACAATGTGACGAAGGATTCTGACAGTGGATATGGAAGTGAAGAAATAGATCGGACAGACAGCACGAGTGAAAGTAATCACACTGATGCAAGTATATTAGAGAATGTTGGCGGTGAAAATGCCACACAATCACAATTGCTTCATGGCCATTACCGCCACCATCACAGCCACCATGGATGCCGTAGACACCATCATCATGGACATCACCATCATCACCGTCATCATCACCACCATCACCATCATCACCGTCGTCATCACCGTCGTCATCACCACCATCACCATCGTCATCACCGTCGTCATCACCACCATCACCATCACCGTCGTCATCATCACCATCATCATCATCATCATCACAGACATCACGATGACTGTCGTCATCACCACCGTCATCATCATCATCATCATCATCATCACGGACATCACCATGACTGTCATCATCACCATCATGACGATCATCACTACCGTAGAGATTGTTATTATTAATCACTCTTGTGATCATGTTACTATCAGAACACCAATTTGGTTGTTTCCGTGCTTCCTCTCGAATTACATTTAAATTATCCAACACGCTATCCGGACAAGTAGAACGTCCATTTGTGATGTTGTATTTAAATAATCCAATTTGTACTAAATATATATAGTTAGTCTGTAGTAATTTTCTATTCCGTTCTAATTATCGTAACAAAGCAGCTCTCTGAGAGAATGATCGAGTTAGTCATATAGCTGGAAAATCGGACATCGTGTGTTTCAGTTAACAAAGAAATTGCGGATACTAACTAACATTTACATATGCGAGATGTAAGTTATTGGTAAATAAAGTAGGTCATAATTATTCCAATTATATAGAATGAATTCAGTGTATATGACAGGTGGTATAAAAGATATTGTCTTTAAAATGTAACATCTAAAGTTGATAATAGTTAATAACTGACAAGGAGAATAAAGTCAATATTATGCTAATTGGTATCATAATTCAAATCAAATTTAACGTAGTATTCTACAACTAAACAATGATTTAACATATCCAAATGTTGATCTTCATAATTGAATTTTGAAGAACACGACCCATAACTTCTATGCCCAGCGATTTGCGTAAAATTTCATCACTTTGATAGTTGGTTTAAGTAGACTTGGAAATCGATCGTCAAGTGTTTGAAAGCTCTCCTCTTCAACACATTTCATCTATCGAGAATAGATTAAATTGTATTCGTAAAACCAGTACAGTTATTTGTGATTATTTTGATGATTGAGTTAGTAGATGGTTTTGTGTCAGTCACTTCAGATCAATATTGTAGCTTTCACTTGAGGAGAACTAAAAAATCTTGTCGGTTCTATGCAGATGTGTAGGATAATGTTGAGGGATAAACTAACTGGAACTTGAGATGAAATTAGGATTTCACTAGTTTGGATCTTCTACTAACAAGTACAAAAGATGGAACAATGCAAATGAACCTGTGAAGGAAATATACTCGAATAGGATATATGAATGCATGGAAGTAGATTTTATTACACACCGTTTCTTTAAGGCTAAGCATTCATATGTTGCAAAATCTATCTGCGCGCAACCCGATAATATTATTGACATCCAATTTAGACAGTATGGTGTTATGTACGATAAAGTAAAAGAAGTTGATAATGATTGTGAAACTCTCCCTGGGAATACTCCACGTAACTCATTGGTGGTCAGGCTGCTGATGGTTAAAATGTTGATTTTCATATCGAAAATTTGTTCATGCACATACTTTAGCTGTTACAGAGATTCTGCAAATTGATGACATTTTATCACTACTCCCACAAATATATTATGTCATTAACCTCAGTAATTAACAAGAATATTCTAGATATCTTATTAACTACCATTACACTCGGATAATTATGAGGTGGTAAGCTGTTAATTATGGTTAAAACTATGAGAACACTCTACTGACTTTCATTTGATCACTTCATTGATCATAGTAACACTATTTGCATGTCATGAAGTCAAGTAACATTTGCCAAATATTATGCATATGAACTGTTGTATTACTCTTTGTTTTATGCTTGAATAAATATCGAGATTTCAACTGATACTTTTAAAACTTTTGCAAGCCAGTCATTGTATTCGGTGGTATTAGATTGATTTACAAAGTTTTATAATGCCTAACACTATTAGCTTTAACTGATCTAATTGTAAAGATAGTAGACGCTAAATAGTTGTGTGTTTATAATAAATATATATTTGTTATATTCCACTGAATAGGAAAGCTGTATTTCTGATGTTTCATGACTTAATATAAGCTACTTCTTCAGAGTAGACAAATAACCGGACTAAATTTACACAAGTTTAAATAACACATTTATGATCAAACATGGGTTTTAATGAAATTGTAGTAATTTAGTATTTGAATTCATGAGTTAATTGAAGCTAGACCATCCTGGAAAATCCAGATGCACTGGACAGTCGTTTCATTCTAGTATGGAACTCCTCAGTAGTGCGCATCCGCTATTCAATCTTGGGTTCAAAAATTGTGGAGCGGGATAGTGTGTGCGTTCTGCTGAGGAGTCTCATACTAGAATGAAATGGTCGTCCATTGTTTCCAGGTTTCCTATAGTGATCTAACTCCCGATGATTCATGAATTCAATTATTAAAAATCTAACTCATATCTAGTAATATAGTAACAAGAAATACAGTGAAGTTTGACATTATGTTATTACATTTAGTAATACGTAACATTACCTATGATTTATATAATGAAACTTCAATGTCATTACTAGTTAACTAATTAAGTCTTATTCATTTCAACTTTTATTATAACTATTGTGATGGGTGTTGCTTATATTTATGTAAGTAGTATGTGACGCGAGTTAAAGAACGTAATGTCTTACAGCAGAAGATGGTGGAAGATCAAGAATCAAAGAGTGGGAACACAATGCAATTTGTAAGAAAACTCACGAACAACGAAATGTGAGACAACGGATTGGTGACTACAACAGGAACAGTCCGGTTTGATATGATGGATTGATATTTTGCAAATAAACGAATTTCTATGTGGATTTTCTATTTTACGGAGTAACTCTGTAATTTTGTGCTAAATACAATTCGATTGTCCCCACCTGTGTTCTGTTCACTACACTATTACTATTATTATGATTACTTGGTAATGAAGCCAATTTCTATGAAACAATTCCAAGTTTCATACATAAATTTGAAATAACACACGATAAACGACAAAAGAGAAACAAAACAGAACAAAAAGAAGAAAAGAAAGAAGAACTATCATCGCAATTTTTTCTCTATGAAACTTTTCTTGTTACAAGAATTATATTCGTTATTCATGTCATTTCATTTGAACAGAGTTTAATGAATCGATATTGAAGTTTCTCTTTCGAAACGAATCAATCTTCCTTCATATTTTAACCATAGAAATGGTAGCTAGAAAATATTTTTTTAGAGAAAAGAAAGGGGGATAAGTATTAGTGCAGTTTCATGATTTATTCAATGAAATATACAGAGATTATTTAGAATCTTATAGAACCATGGAAACTAACATTGTAGAGTAATACAATGGTGTGAGCTACTTATATCTACACAGAGTAGGATATAATGATAGTCAGGAATAGAATTGTATTTCAGCAGAAGATCGAGAGAGAAAGATAGAACAAGAACACGAAGTAATTGGTATGAAAATGCAGAAACAATGAAGTCTCAGACGATTGACTGATATTTGTAATCGGAACAGTCAAGTTTGAGATAGTTGATTAATATTTTGCAACTTATATATTTTGGTAAGATGCTCTGTAATTTTGTGTGCTAATATGTTTGATTTCCCTCAGTCGTGTTCAACTCCATTACAATACGTCATGTAGACTATGTGATTATATTATATGAAGTTGATGAATTTAATTCATGAGAGTAGTTCTACAAGAAACGTAACCCACTATTATTATGTGTCTCAGCATTTTGACCAATATGAAATATCTTTCATATTTTGTTCCGTTTCATAAGTGATTGTCATAAATTATGTTTAATGTATTTGTTTATTGATAGAAAAGTCATTACATTGTTACTCTTTGACACAATAGAAGTTAGATTTTGTGTACATCAAGAGACTGATGAAGCTCTTCAAAATGTATTACCAATGCAAATGGATTATATTCTGAATAAAAAGTAATATTTAGTTGTCGGTGATTTTCTCGTTTGATTTTAATCATAGGAAATCATTCAATATGGAAATTTTAAAATGCGTCGATATCATTCTGTTTAACGTGTCAGTAAAATATATTGGAACTATATATAAGGTATTATGAGCAGAGATGGATCGTTGTTAGCATTGGAATCCAGTTTGACGCGCGTTTCGTCCTATTTCGGACTTGTCAGATGGACACACCTGCATCTCAGAATTGATGTTCGCTCTGAGACTGAAACCCAGTAATTTGCTCTTCAAACGCCACCAAGTTATCCACTTAGCTTTTGATTCCTGATATCCGTTTGCTTGTGCAATGGGATGAAGTTTAATTTCACTTGGCATTGTTTACCTGCATCTTCCCATTGATAATAAGAACTGCCATTTGTCAGTATGCTATCGGCATATGTGCATACTGTGTGTATTGTCTCGATGTTGCCTTAACTCACAAGCATTAGAAGTTCGTGAAAAGGTGGGCATCGTTGATCAATGAAATATACATAGATTATTTAAGAACCATATAAACTAACATTGTAGAGTAATACAATGGTGTGGGCATCTTTGATCTTATCATCAATCGGAATTCACAACTTAATTAGTATAATGCATTGTGCCATTCAGATTCCTTCAATACAATTGAAGATACGATAGTTGAATTTATGACAACTTTCATAACCTTTTAGAAGTGAATAGTTTAACATTTGTCAAGCATGTTCTTTAAGAAATGTCACGAATTATCACTCTGTCAGAAATACATGTACAATATTCTTGTTGCCATATGAGTGGTGTACAGTAGTTTGGTTTGCTTAAGGAATATTTACAGCATAGTCTACATGCACTCAGCACCGTTAGATTTTAGAATGTTTTACTTTAAAGATAAACTATCATTCGAAATGGAAGAAGAGATTGAGCGGAGTAAGACTATCCATTCAAGTGAATTTATAAATAAACATCACTTAATGAATGCGAATAGGGATGAAGTTCTAGGAGTTAAAACAACATAACACTTTCACAGATCTGAAGGAAATCAAGTAGAATAAGAAATATAATAAACAGCAACGTGAAACAAAAGATTTTCTCAGAAGAATACTATAATCAAGTCGTTCATATTGAAAAACAAAACAATCTGATCATTAACCAGTGTAGATTAAATGATCATTCATTACTCCACTGAACACTTTGTGAACCAGGAATGTCTCTGAGACACTTACTAATCAAGTTCAATGGTGGAACTATATCAGATTATTCTGAGTGTTATTCTTATCAGTTAAGGAAATAAATAAGAAATAATTCTCAATTTCAAAATAACCTTATTCATAAAATTGATACCCTAATTGTATCACTTGATAGTTGTTTCATCAGTGAAGACTCCATGAAAAGTAACCATCATTAAAAGAACAAAATACAAATGAATGTGAACATTTAAAGTTTGAACTTACGCAACGTATGTTAATGCCGCTCTT